GAGGTGGGGGAGGTGCAGTTGGAGATTCTTAGGTGGGCGGTGAGGCTCTGAAAGACACGATTGAAGGAGATGAGCTCAGCTTGCAGTCACAAGTCAAAAGGGAGCCCGAGAGGAGAGGTGAGAGGGCCACTTAGTCCCTGCAGAACCAGAACATGAACACTGGGTCAACATCTCTCTCCAGTTGGGTCAGTCCGTCGCACACCTACATACAGCAGATCCTCGTAAAGTACTGCAACATCCACATTCAGACACGCCAGGGCTTCTTCCTCTGCTACTCAGAGACTGTATGTTGTCCAATTTTATCAGCAGACGACTTCACACTTCTTGACTTGCAAAACAGGGAATCTCGTGCTTGAATTAGACACATCTAATTATAACCAAAAAATTTAAATTTGTGCATTTGTGCCAGACACATTAATCCCCACACAACAGGCAACTAATTAGGGCTGCAACTAACAATTATTTTTTATTATCAATTAATCTGCCAATTATTTTTTGATTATTTGTTTTGTCAGAAAATAGTGAACAATATCCACAGCCCAATTTGATATATAATAGCTTGTTTTATTGAGTCAAAAAGGTCCAAACCCCACTTTTATATATGACAACTAAAAGTATATAACAAGCAAATATTTGGCATTTTTGCTTGAATTACTAAAATATAATCAATTATCTACTTATCGTTGCAGCTCAAAACCAATCCAACCAGCAATATCCAGAGGAAAAAAAAGGAAATTAACTACCTGAATTACAGATAAAAATGTTACATCAGATCCACCAGAGATACACACCAACCATTTTGACAGGAGAAAGGCTGCAGTGTCAATGAATGCACAGATTCCAGCATACATAGCTTTACCATTATAACAAAAATTGAAATGCCAGCATGCATAAATCATGAATTAACTAGTCGATGATGAGGGGTAACGACGCGCTCTGCACGCCTCTGGAGATGTCACATTTATAAAATACTGTTAGTGCACTAAAGCTTCTGACTAAAACATGATTTTTTTCCCCCTGCTGTGTTACAATGAGGAGAGAGAGAGCAGGCCGAAGGTTGGACGAAGCCCAAACTGGATAAAAACCGCAGGCCTGTTCAAAACACAGACACACAACTGTATTGCTCTATTCTCACAAGACCGACGCAGCCAACAGACCTCCAACAAGAGCATGAACAATGGTTATGTTGATGCCACAGACATTTTCCTCAAGCAGTTAGGACACAATAACGCTGCACTGTGGCGATGGATGTGCTCCGCCCCAGACAACACAAGACAAGACAACCACCCCACTCCCCCCCCCGTCATCGCCCAGCCTCATTCACGCCTGGACTTCATTATGGAGGTGTAACAGAAATGATCATTGGCAATCTGAGAGAATTTACCAGACAATGATGCAGTCCAAGTCATGCCTCACCTACACAAAGACCAGTTAGGGGTGAATTGACTAAATGGAAAAGATTTACAAAATACAGCTGTGTTAAAGACAAGATGTAGGCTACTGAACATTTTAAGAGACTATGGTTTTATGCACATATTGACAGGACATAACTATGATTAAAAAGATCTTTATTTGCCGTAGACATAGAAATATTTCCTCTTAACAGTACAATCAGGCCTAATCTTCCTCTTTACCATTATTTGGACAATTTAAAATTCACAGCAGTGTTTTACTTTGCAGACAAATTCAGCTAACAGTGACTTGCATGACTGAGTATGTGAATAAAGCTGATCACAGTGTCTTTGTTTATGCCTCATCTGCAGTAACATTTAGATTTAGGGAAAGAGAGACCCACTGACATCCTGCAGCCCACACACACACACACACACACACACACACACACACACACACACACACAATGTACAATGTATGTAACATGTCCTCCTTTCTATCATTTGAAAAACTTTGCTTCATGTTTATGCAGCTGCTAATATCACTTACTAACTGGTGAAGGAAACCTCTGCCATATGTATTATTTTTACTTTGTAGAAAGAATAGTAATTTATCCACAAGATGTTCGTAAGTGATCTCTGTCTTTATGTGGCAGTTTCAACAACCAACATTTGTCTTAAATTATTAAAACTTCTTCAAGAACTCCCTCATCAAATTATTAGAATTTTTTTGTAATAATTTAGTAACAGCCTAAAACAGAAATGTCTATTTTCTGTCTATTTCCACTGAAATGTGAATATTTACACTAAATGTATAATCACAGAAAAATAATTGCAAGTTAAAAAAAAAAATACACACGTATAAAAAGTGCTTAATAATTGAGATAAATAAAAGTAGGGAACTAAAAATAGTCCACTTTATGGTTGACACCATTAGGATATAGATGAGATGATGGCAAAATAAAAAGGCCTTCCCTGGGCAGGATACAAATGCAGTAACAAGGATAATATAATAGATGCAGCATTGTTCAGCTAAAATATAACATGGCAGTAACTATTGCTTGAGCAGAGCTGTATAGACTAAAAGGATAGCAAGTCTTTCTTTCTGTTTCCTCTCCTGTTAATAAGTTAGGAATGTCTGGCCTGCCATATTTAGATTATCTTGATAAAATTAAGTCAACAGGATAAATGGTTCCTTTACTGGCTGCAAGTTTTATTATTAAAAGAGTGAAAGCTGATTAAAAAAAATAACTTCTCGTGAAATAATTCTTCTGTGCAAACACTGCTGACATTTCAAGGATCATTTTCATTTTCAATGTGGAATCAGTGGCTGCCTTTTTTCTTTTTTTAAACCACTAGCTTTGTTAAATCTGATTTTGTGTATAATATTGTATTATCAATAATTGGATTTACTTGGTTTAAAGACAGATCATTTAAAGATTACAGAGGTCCAGCTGGTTAATGTCAGATAGAGGGAATCTGACTGAAAATGATAATAGAGGTGTGAGGGAAACCAATTTTATGACCCAAATTAAAAGCATACACCTGTGCACTGACAGGAGAGGCAGACATGGCCTACAGGGGGTTTTCCCGGTGGTTTTCCAGCCCACTAAACCCAGTAAAAAAAAAAAAAAGAAAGAAAGAAACCTCCTGAGAGAATAAGCACTGATTTTGGCAGTGCTCCTCTTCATCACCACAACCCATCTTACCTTTTTGTGTCTGTCTTTGAAAGGTAACGCAGGCCATGGCATCTCCTGCAAAAAGTCTTGCCAGTGTTTCTGGTCCTGATCAGACGAGATGAAGACGATTTCCAATTTGTCCTTGTGTTCAGACGTCTTTTTGAACCTGCTGTAAAACTCGCACAGGCTGCCGTTGAACTGCTTGCACGGCGCGTTCAGGCTGCATCCGAAGAAGAGCCCGACCAGGGACAGCTTGGCGCCCAGCGACTGCACGTCCACCTCGGCTTTCTCGCTGTTGACGAGCCGCTCCCCGAGTAGACTCACCAGAAACTCCGACATCGCAGCGCACAGTCCTCGAACACACAACGTTACCCTCGGCCGAGGCTGCTGTGCATGCAACCGCTACGTTTTCAGGCGACACCCGGCACTTCCTCCACCTCCAATTTGAGGTTTTTAAGGTGAGCTCCCAGCCCCTGTGAGGCGTTGCGGTGTGTGTTTCACCGCGGCTCGTCCTCCGGCGTGTGAGCGCTGTGCAGGAATGCGCTCCGGTTAAATCACCCTGACTGCAACAGCGGTTGCGCTCTCTCTCTCTCTCTCTCTCTCTCTCTCTCTCTCTCTGTCTCTCTCTCTCTCTTTCTCTCCCCTCCACTCCTCTAAACACACACTTTCATCATGACATCTGGTTATTCTAATTACAAAGACGATATCTTATCACTGTATTCTGTGTTTTTTTGTTGTTGTTTTTTTTGTTCAGCATACATACATCTGAGTTTAACATTGTTTTATATCCTGGAGCTACTTTTGAAGGTTAAAAGCAGCAGGATTCTAGGTCTGACTTAAAAAAAAAAACCTGTTTTATTCTGCTTAATGCTTGCTTGGGATTTCATTTAATAAGCTTCATCAGATTCTGCAAATTTCAAAAAGATAAGGCCACACTCTATTCCTATGGGTGTGCTGCCACCTAGTTTTCACAAGCAGAAACTACCTGGTCTGCAGCAATTTTTGAAGTAACTGAAGGGATTTATGGCACAACTTCACCTTCTTTCAAGGTGCATAGAGGAGGGAACATAGTCCTAAATGATGTAAAACAACACAAACACAAAAGAAACAGAAAGAAAAAGCCATGGTTCTCCTTCAAAAAGACCAATACAGCCTTCCTTTCCTACCAAAAACAATAACAACACCTCCGCTCTGTCTAGAAGAGAACTCATATAGTAGAGTGATTTTCTTTGTTCAGGTCAGTTGTATCCTGGGACAACTCGGTTTGCTTGTATCCAGTGTGATGCAAATAAATCCTGCACGTGGAGTGAAACTGTCAATTCTCTTTGCTTTCTGTGAGTCTGTGTCACCATTCTGGGTACCTTCAGGTGGGAGTTTGTGGTCTCTCTCTATAGTCAGATAGCTAAAAGTCTAAGTCAGATAGACATCGATTGAGGTTAAAATTAAACCACAACACTGCTTTATAGTTAGACTTGTTACTAATGTTACCAACTCCTCTGTTCTGCTCCTTCAGTAACTTTGCACATTTTTATACTTCGTCTTTTAAAACTATAACTTTCTTTGCACACTTGATCAATGTCAAATCATTGTATCCTGTTTATATATTCTATCTTATTATATCTTTAGTGTATCCTAGTATATCCTTTATATTGTGTATTCTATTGATACTGTATAGATTTTATCTTATTATACTTATTGAGTGTGCCAAGGGTTCTCTGATACTCTGTATTGAGCTATTTTAATTCATTTTGTGATTTTGAAGTGTTTAATTTCATTTGATATATATTTATCTTTTCTAGTGTTGATATATAATTACTTACTGTTCCTGTGCAAAGCAGAAATCTATCTGTCTATGAACTTTGTTGTTAGCTTGTGGCTTTCATCTGGGTCATCATACAACACTTAAAAAAGGTTTATTCTGCCACAAATATTCAACATCAGGTGTCACTTTATTTGAGTCCAACTGCAAGGCAACATCACACACAAAATGGTCACAATAATAAAAAAAATCTCAAGATATTTTTTTATAATCAACTAGTGTGTTACAATGTTACATTTGAAGAAATGTATCAAACTTACAAAAAAAAAAGAAGTGGGTGATTGCACATAAAGCAGAACAAGAAATATTATCATGAATTACATCCATGTGTTTTTCTTTAGAGATTTTCCAGTATGGATTTCATTGAATAGCTGAATATTACAAAGGATGCTCATTATTCGGTCGTACACTTACACAGTTGCTGATTTGCATCAAATGACAGAAGGAGATGTGCCTTGAGCACGATTATCAACAGTGCTGAAAATGAATGGTGGTAAAATTGACTGTTTAAGAGTGAAGAAATCTCCACGGATGTTAAACAGCGCAGGCTCCTTCAGTCCTCGGTGAACATCATCCTCACCAGTTCGGCTTTGAAGCATTCCTCCTCCACCAACTTCTGAGGCTGAAACAGGTTTACAGTGGTTGTATTACAGGTACATTTACTCCCTAGACAACTCTAACTCTAAATATTAACCTATATATAAGCAACTGAATATTATCTTAAATTAGCCCTCTTATTATCTAATTTCTATGTATTTTTCTTTATAATATGAATAGTAACACAGATCTTACTGTAGACTAATCCATGTCAACATAAAGAAGTTATTCTTACTGTGCCATATCGCAGCAGAGTGGGAACTCCACTCAACTTCAGTGTCTTCTTGAAGGCATTAGTTTGATCCTTCCAGCTGAAGCATGAAAAATACATTATTGAAAGAGCAGCAGACATTTATAGGAGCAGACTGGGAGAGCAGAAAAAGAGAGCTGATACAGAAAATCATTGACATTTTTATTGGACTAAATGATTTATAGATGAGTGAAGTAAGTCTCTGCATGAGGAGTACTTGGTGCTGCAATGTATATTATACAGTTACACCATTTAAAATGTACAAACGTCCATTTTTGTCTCGTACAGAGAGTCGACTTATCATGTATGTATGTTTCCTTTTAGGTTGCAGATATAATATTATGTACATTTACCATAATTATCCTGGTGGCACAGTACTTAGTGGCTGGCTAGAAATGATCTTTTATGACTGTACTCACTGTAACTGGCTCTATAGTTTGTCAGTTGATTAAATGTAAATGAGATTCGCCTTTATAACATAATTCTGAGACTATTAGTTGATAAATCTTTTAGCTGAACAACAGAAAAGGTATACATAATATGTTTTTGTAATTTATCAAGTTATTAGCTTCACAAATATAGATTATTTTAATTTTTTTGAATGAAGTTAGATCAAATCAGTTTGAGTTTTTGTCAAACTGCAGGTTAACTTTGACCCAAGGAACAGTTTTTCCATAAATAATTAAAGCAGAGTAAAATACTGACTAGGCCCTTTCTCCAACTTGACAGTAGATGAAGACAGAGCCATCGGGAAGATGAGCCATTTCCCCTCTAACCACTGGCTCAGCTGAAAGGGAAAAAGAGGATCTGTTTAAAAAATGACTGAATGACAGTGCACTAAATCACAGCAAAACAGTATACCACCATCTCACTGGCAGAACAATGCAAAGTTTGCTTTAAAAGCCTACATGACCAAATATTTGAACTGAATTTGAAGCACACGCATCTAGTGACTACATTATAACATGGTAACTCCAGGGAGAGAATATATATGAAGTTACCTTTCACACAGTCTGGACACCAGCTCTTTCCTTGGGCGTCTTTATCACCAGAGAAATAAGCAAAAATATCCTTCCCTTTTCTTTCAGACACAGCCTGACAGAATTCATCATAGCCACGCACGTTTACTTCTTCGTAATGCACCATCGTTAAGGCCGCGTTAATGTCACAATGCACTAACGTAAACTATTAAACTAACTCAACTGTGAGGCACTAACAAGTGTTTGCAGAAATACTGCAGCTCTGAACAACGCCGGACCTGGTAGAAATACTCTAAATCTGACAGTACCACTTCCGGTCTGTTCAAAGGTTTCTTAAAGTGACCGTGTACCCGAATATGTTTATTAATTAGTTTAAATTCTAAAGTAAAATATTTAGTTCATATTATGACACAGCTTTTCACACAGTGAGAAAATATTAAACAAGGGGGCGGTTATTTTTTTATGTCATAACATGGCGTTAAATATGCGGTTTCGTTGATGTTTGGCTTCTTTGACGATCCGTATTTGGTAAAAACTACTTCCGTTTAGCGGCGTTCTGTTGTTGTCATGGCGGCGGTTCAAAGCGTGGATCAATATTTAAAAGGTTAACCATGAGCTATATATTTCAATTAAACACCAGCTAGTCACGCTGGGTGCATAGCTAATGTACAATTCCGATACGAACTTAAAAAAAAAAAGTAGTAAAAAGCGAAGTCGAAACGGTCGAAAGGATGATTTTAGGGGTTGACTTGATGTTCGCAAACTTCAATTCAAAAGCGCCGCTAGCTGGCTGATGCTAAGTCTCACTGTTTAGTTATTAGTTTTGACCGAGCTTGTGTTTTTCTGCAATGACTGCGCAGTTTGTGCAGACTGGTCCCACAATCTCCGCAGGACAGCGGACTCGAAGAAGAGACTGGGTTGTTTTAGGTTCAACCCGAAACGTTCACAACGAGATGGCCCAAACGAAGGTGAACAAAATCCCCTTAATAATGTTAAACTGCATCTTTATTACAGATAACTCTACGCTATCTATCTCAGGTGCCAGTTTATAATAATATTTATCTCAAATCCAATTCAGTCCAATACATCAGCCCTGCAGTAAGTCGTACTTTCATGAAAGTTAATGTAATATATGTGTTTTTGTTTTGTTTTGTTGTTGAAAGTGTTTTAGAGAGATGCTGAATTAACTAACATTATATTGTAATTGAGAGGGCTGTGGTGCGTTTGTGTGTGTGTATATTACATTGTACTAAGAGTTTTCTATTATGTTGTGCACCTATTAATGAGGATAATATGTTATGAACACCTCTAAGTGTAGCACAACACAGTTTAACAGAACCAAACAGTACATTTGAAACAAAAACACGTAAAGAAGACAGGATTTATTGCAGTAGTTGCTTTAGATTGCAGCGGATTTGACTGATTTTTAATAAGAAATACCAACTGAGTTTAAAAGAAGTGAATCACAGAAATACCTATTGAGAAAGTGGTGTGAACAGCACAGTTTGAGTATCACAGTGGCTGTGTACATTACATGCAACACTGATTGGTAACTTATACACACAGCTGTTGTTCAATGAAGCCGTCCCTGCACATGCCAGCAACCGTGCCACGCATGTACGCCCGCCAGCCCCCATTGTGATAGAGAGGCTGCTGCCACTGTACGAGGAGCGTGAGAATGTGGACAGCGCCAGAAGCTCCATCAGCTTCACCACTCTCTCTGAGGAGAGACTGCAGGCTGCGGTTCAGCTGGCGAAGCGAGATCTGAGACGAAGGCGCCTTGAGTCGCTGACAAAATCCCCCGCCAAACCCTCTCAGGAGGCCTCCCTCCTTGAAATAAGTGATGTCGAGCTGCTCCAGGTAACTGATGTAGATTAATGGTACAAATTAATAGTTTATTGGTTCTCGCTTTGTTCAATCGATGACTGAAAGGAGTCTTTTTCTGTCCCTATAGGAGCTTGCAGCCACTCCGAATAAGACCAAGTTAAAAGCCTCCAGTCCAAAAGATAAGGGGGCCAAACTGTCGGTGCACACATCCAGGAAGCATCCCATTTCTTTCATGCCCCGGAGTAGCCAATCACCCCCGACCAGAGACCCTGGCCCAAAGCAATTGGAAAGAGGCAAACGGGCTCCTTTAAGCCAAGAGATCCACAAGCTGCAAAATGAGCTGGAAGTGTATATTCAGAAAGTAGAAGAACTAGCCAAGAGAGGTAACTCACAAGAACAGCTTGTTACATTATGCCTGTGTCTTACTGTTGAATGTATGTTTAAAGTTACAGCTTAGCCTGGAAACAATATCACAGTTTTGACACCCACCACAATCAGCACTACTTTGCACGTATAATGGTTAATAATACTGAGTAATGGGATGCAAACAATAGGAGAGAAAATAGAGGAGCCACTGGAGCCTGAAGAGCAAAACAAGTTGGAGACACGCAGACAGAAGCAGTCAGCCCGCTCAGCACGTATAATCTACGTTCTCCAACGACAGGTATTTAAATCTCTACCACGTGTAATTGAACATAAACATTCAGCTTTACAATTGCCCTCTAGCTATAAACTCTGTTCTACTAAATTGTTATTTAAAAGGTAAAAGAGATACAAGAAGATATAGAGAAACTACGAAGCCAAAACATGTGGGACACAAAAAAGGTATGTCTTCAGCATTGTCACAGATTTACTGCTATGTAAAGCTAAAACCATTCATTTATTTGTTGATAATGATAAAAAATTTAAAACAATATGTTTAATGACTATTTTGGGCCACCTGTCCCTCAAGAAATAAATGTGGCAGTACATTTAAAAATTCTTCTGCTGAACGGGGGGGTTTGTTTTAAGGGGGGTTTGTAAAGTTTTACCAGTTCTACTCCTAAACAGAAATCATCTAAATATCTGATGGTTAACTGATTTACTGTTCTTCTTTCAGTCCATGGCAATAAACAGGCTTGCAGCGGCCCACCGTGGGGCACTCCGGGCTTTACAGGTTGTTATCCACCAGCTGTCAGATCTATCTAATGTCAAGGTACCCCCTTATCACAAAGAGCTGGGCCAGCTGATTCGCCAGCTCTCTTTGTGCTCAGCTAAGGTTGAAGTAGAACAGGGTTCAGCTGTGCCTGAGACAGCCCTCGACATCCTGCAGAAACTCGAGGTGAGGAGCATAAAGTACAACCAGAAAGTATATGGACAATAATAGGATTTTTTTATTGTTTTGTCTCTGTTCCAGCAGAGTTGTTGTTGTTTAACAACTATTGTACACCCCCCCATTTTGTTTCATTTTATCTCTCTTGATAGTCTTTGATATGTTGTATGTTTTGATTGTACTGTAATTTGAAAAAATACAGTTGGGTTTCATTTAACTAATTGATATTTTAGGTTATTTGTCTACATATGGAGCTTATTTTATTGAGCGATTGTTCCTTTTTTTTTTTATACCATGAATAAACCAAGATGTAAATGTCTCTCTGTTCCTCTTAGACTTTGGATTCTGCCCTCTGTAAACAAGAGATGCTCGAAAAGATGCAGGCCCAAGCATGTCCTCCACACAGGAAGCCTCCTCATCGCAGCATGTCACCGACTAGCGTACCCAAGGGTCCCAGCACCTCATCTATTCGAGGACCTCGCAGACCAGCAAATCCCAAAAGAGGTGTCCGTGGTGAGTGTTTCTAAGAAAGCCTTTACTTCTTTTGAGTAAGTTTGTGCATGTGAAGCCTTATGAATATCTTCCTCCTCTGTTTCTAATGTTCTACCCTCAGCAACAGTATTTATTAATACCATTTCAAAACTCATGAATCTAACATAAATGCAGTATGTTCCTTCATAATTTCCAACTTAAGGCAGTGGCCTACTTGCTGCCAAAGCTGCTGCACAGAGTGTAAATTGTATGTATGCCTTTTGATGAAGGCCAAACCGTTTAGTCTCCCGTGTATCTGGGAGTCACCTAAGGGCTTTTGTGCAGTTGTGTTTGGGCCTCCAACTGTGCTTAAATTGCTGCACTGGGCTGAAAATTGATAAGGAGCCATAAAGAATTGATAGAAAAACAGGAAGTGAAGTGCAGAACTCTGGCATTGGGTCCCCTGCTGTTTAGTCTTATAAGCAGTTATCTCCTGCTGGTTCCTATTGCCTTAAGAGGCATCCCGTGGATGAGCTTCATCTGCATCTAGATCTCCTTGGAAACAAACTTAAATGAGAGCTAATTGTGTAATTGGCGGTGTTGTGTTAGTGCGTAATGGTTCCAAACTGATTTATTTGAGTTTAGTAGGCATGAAGTAGAGTCTAGTTTGTTGTTGCTGTAGCTGTTCTGATATAATCCTTTTTCATTTTAAATGGGACCAAAACAAATCAAAGGTATTGTTTTTCATTTGTGTCAGCAGTTAGGAGAATGGCCTCACAGAAGCCCCAAACTACTTCTCACCAGCCCTTAAACAGAAGAGAGGTGCTCAGGGCTGGCCTGGAGAGCCTTGCCCAACAGAGGGAGCTGAGAGAGCTGCAGGGACGAGCTCAGACAAACACCACCAGCAGAGGAGGAGGGGCTCTGCGCTCTGAGAGAAGCAGGGCTGACATTATAATGAAGGTGTTGGCTTGACTTCTACAAAAATGAATACTGAATTAAGGCTGCAACTACCAACTGTTGTCATAGTCGATTAATCTGTCAATCATTTTCTCGATTAATCGATTGGTCCATAAAATGTCAGAAAATGGTGAAAAATGTCGATCACTGTTTCCTAGATTTCCCAAATGTCTCATTTTGTCCACAACCCAAACATATTCAGGTACGTTTACTGTCAAAGAGGACTGAACAAAATTCCTATTTGTGAAGCAGTTATCACAGAACATGGAAATATTTTCTTAAAAATGACACCAAGCTATGAATCTATTATCAAAATAATTTGCAAATACTTGATTAATCCACTAATCATTGCAGCTCTATACTGCATTGAATTGACATGCTTCATATTTTAGTAATAGCAGTGTGATTTGGTGTGCCAAAGGTAGGTCACTTCAAAAATATAAACAATGTGAGCATCATTTAAACAGTCTAAACATATATTTTCTCATTTCTGTTCTGTAGCGTAATCAGATACAAGACGCAGGTTTCCGGCAGCCTACAGTCTCCTCTCAGCTCAGAGTGAACCAGATGCCTCAAAAAGAGCACTCTGTGCCCTGGATACCTACATCCCCTCATTCTCCTCCTCCACAGCGGTGAGCCTTTTATCTCACTGCACAGCTGATGACACATTAGACTTTTTAAAATCATAACCTCTTATTGTTCACCACTGTTTCTGCTCTCGCCGCACACTGGATGATT